GCAAGTCTATCATGAGTTGCATAGCGACGAGCGTCCTACCGAAATCTTCGGCGACGCTCTAAGGGGGGAATTGGATGCAACTCCTTCGAGAGTAGAGTTGCACTCCCAAGACCTGCCGCCTCGATATGAACATGAACGTGTATCCCCTGGAGCTTATGGAAATTTCAAGGGGCCGGTCTGATAGCATTAAGGGCACGATGTACGACAAGGTTAGGTTCGACGGAATGATTCCAGGCCAACAGCATGAGACTTATCGTGGATAGTCGAGACGGCACAATGCCGATGGGCACAGCAGAGCTCTTACTGACGAATGAGTCTAGAGGCTGGCGTGAACCCGATTAGCACAGGGGCACGTGGATCGATGGAAGGTTCCTACTGAAGTATGCAGAAGAGGCAAGCGAGGGATACACTTCTGTCACTCTCTACGAAATCATGCTACGTGCGCTTCAGACTGATGAGATGGTCTGTCTGGATCCAAATTGGATGGGAAGTTCTAATCTAGGTAATCATCTACATGTCTACTTGAAAGTGCTAAGATCTACTTCAGCCACTGGCATCAGGCCTCTAGCAAGAAGACACACTTCCATATGTATGTATCAAAAGCATCTGAGTAGGATCTACCGAGATTAAAACGAATGAATCACCAGTAATACTCTAGAGCTAAAGACTTGTATGCGCGAGACATGACCTTGAGTGTGATATTTTTGTGAACAATGCATGTCCTCCGCTAATACCATAGTAGAACGGCCTGTGCCGTTCCCAGCCGCAACAACGCTTCGTCTAAGTGATCTGGCATGAATCGCAGGCGCTCTAGGTACGCCTTCGCCTTGCCATACTCACTTACATACCTGGTAGGTAGGCGCGTATTTTGGTGAATGTGCTGGTAGTACATTAGCTAGGCGATCTCGCCGAATTCGATTCAACCACTATAACCAGACAAGGGACTGCAGCCGACGTTATCCTCGGAAGGGTTGATACAGCAACTGGAAAACTCTTCGGGCAAGTCAGCCGTCCCCGGACTGGAGGAGCAAACTCACTACAGAGCACGAAGACTTCAGAGTCACCGTTTGTAATGAGTGACAACCAGGGGACGGAGACTAGATTGAGTAATAGAGGTGCGATAATCACGAGCCAGGGCCTAAGCCTATATCAAGGAGCCAAAATCATTCCAACGTAGACTCTTGCTCAATCATGCTCTTGACTCGGCTGGGAAGTCTCGTTGCTTCCTTTGGTATCCTGCTCTCTTTCAGGCCCGAACAGTCATCTCTTCAACTTTACATCGCTTCACTCCCTGAACTCGTCTTGAATGCTGTTTCGCTTCAGGGGATAACCCGTGGAGTCAAATGTTGAAAGAAATAAGCAAACAATCAACAATAGTAAACAAAGCAAAGGGCTTGGACAAGAAGTCAATAGTAGATACATGTATATAAGATATACACATTATGTACCTGAAAAGCTTCAACTGGACGTTTATGTACATTTCTGCCTTAATCAACTTAAAGAGTGAAGATTACCATCGCGGCTTCAAAAGTTGCAAACGAAATAGCAACCTTGGGACTCTGACGTCAGCGGATTCACACCAATTTAGCAGGGCGAAAGCGAGTGAAAACGGACCCGCCCCCACCTGCTGCTCCTTTGGTTGGATCTTGTCGCAGCCTGAGGCAACGACTGGTTCCCCACAAGCATTATTTTATTATCAGGATTTTACTTGTGAAAGGTCAAAAATTTCGGTGTCCCCACTATATAGCCCCACCAAGCCCACCAGCGAAGCCACAGCCCAAAGATACAAGCGTAAGGGAACTTTTATCGCCCCCGCGCAGATTCCTCCCACTTGTCATCAACAACTCAACGACCTTGAAAAAAGTTTACGGAGGATAAATCCCTTTTTACTTTTTTTGTTTCCTTCTACTCGAATACTCGAATCGTGGGAAACAGGTCACTTTCCCTCTTCTGATAATCACCCACTCTTTCGTCCTCTCGATCAATCGGTCACATTCGCTTGTGATCGTATCGTAATCGACGACTCGTGGTCGCTATCTATAATATTATAGGAGCCTAAGCGGGGTAGATTTCTTCGATATCACCGGTCATTCCCGTCATCTTCATCATCATCCCTCGGTCGGTTATAGACAAAAGGAATAAAAAGCATCAAGATGGTTTCCGCATCTAAAGAGAAGAGACTCGCCAAGAAGGCCGCCGAGGGCAAGGGCGAGAAGAAGACTCTCGTCTCCAGATCCAAGGCTGGCTCCAAGACCGCATCCAAGAATGCGAGCGCGGCCGGTTCCGTCGCCGGCGACGACACTCCCCCCAACCTCGACGATGTCCCCGCGACCGACGACACCAAGATGGAGAAGGTCAAGGCATTGTCGGACCAAAAAGACAAGCACGGCCTATCCGACCGTATCACCACCGGTGTCTTAGCTTCCGTTCCCACTAGCAGGGACGTCAAGATTATCAGCGCCAGCTTAACCTTCCACGGTCGTGTCCTCCTCAACGAAACCGACCTTGAGTTGTCATTCGGGCGCCGATACGGATTACTGGGTGAGAACGGTTGCGGAAAGAGTACCCTCCTCAAGGCTATTGCTGCACGAGAATACCCTATCCCCGACCATGTCGATATCTACCTGCTGAACGAGGGTGCCCCGCCCTCCGACCTGGGTGCCCTGGAATGGGTTCTCAAGGAGGCCGAGAAAGAGATGGACCGTCTAGATAGGCTGGCAGAGCAGCTACTAGAGGACGAGGGTCCAGACAGCCCCGTGCTAATGGATATTTATGAGGTATGTACATCCGTGATATGACTTCGTAACTCATGCTAACTGAACGCAACAGCACATGGATAAGATGGATCCCTCGACATTCGCCACCCGTGCCTCCCTTATTCTCACAGGTCTTGGTTTCAACAAGGAAACTATCCACAAGAAGACGAAGGACATGTCTGGTGGTTGGCGTATGCGTGTTGCCCTTGCTAAGGCTCTATTCGTCAAGCCCACCTTACTCCTTCTTGATGACCCGACTGCCCACTTGGATCTTGAGGCCTGCGTGTGGCTCGAAGAGTACCTCAAGAAGTGGGAGCGAACCTTGGTCCTAGTCTCTCACTCTCAGGATTTCTTGAACGGAGTGTGCACCAACATGATCGATATGCGCAAGCAACAGCTCATGTACTATGGTGGTAACTTCGACTCTTACGTCAAGACCCGCAAGGAACAAGAGACCAACCAGATGACGGCCTACAAGAAGCAACAAGAAGAAATCAAGCACATTAAGGAGTTTATTGCCAGCGCCGGTACCTACGCCAACTTAGTGCGACAGGCCAAGTCCCGACAGAAGATTCTCGACAAGATGATTGCAGATGGTCTTATCGAGGAAGTCAAGGAGGAGAGGGAGTTCAAGTTCAGATTCACCGATGTCGACAAGCTTCCTCCTCCCGTCTTGTCTTTCGACAATGTCACCTTCTCGTATTCGGGCGAGGCAAAGGACGATCTCTACCGCAACATCGATCTTGGTTTCGATATGGACTCCCGAACAGCACTTGTGGGTCCCAACGGTGTCGGCAAGAGTACTCTCCTGCGCCTCATGACGGGCAAGCTTTCTCCGACTGCAGGATCTGTCCGCCGCCACACACATCTCAAGCTCGGTCTCTACTCCCAACACAGCGCCGAGCAACTTGACTTGACCAAGAGTGCTCTGGACTTCGTCCGCGACAAGTACCGGGAAAAGTCACAGGACTACCAGTATTGGCGTCAAACCCTTGGCAGATATGGTGTATCTGGTCCCGTCCAGACTGCGCTGATGGGTACGCTATCTGAAGGTCAAAAGAGTCGAATTGTGTTCGCCCTTCTTGCCATTGACTCCCCTAACATGCTCCTCCTCGACGAACCCACCAACGGTTTGGATATCCCGACTATCGATGCCTTGGCAGACGCCATTGACCACTACAGCGGTGGTGTGATTGTCGTTTCCCACGATTTCAGGTAAGAATTCCCTCTGCACTGATTCTGGTAATAAGTACTAATACATGAAACAGATTGCTCGACAAGATTGCCAAGCAAATTCTAGTGTGCGAGAACCGAACGATCAAGCCGTGGGACGGCACGATAGGAGAATACAAGAACTATCTGCGGAAGAAGATGTTGGCTGCCGGTGCAGTCTAAAAGATACACCTGTCTTCGTACTCTAAACTTGATTTTGGTTGACCGTGCGGACGCCATCGTTCGCGACAGATCCCCGTACTGCTGCAGTACGGAACCGGAGAGGCATACATGGTGGCCGCGGCTCGGAGGTCTATAGATTGGGCAACGACTCATGGAGCCGCAGCCTAGGATTCGAAAAGCCTTGCTTTTAAGACGGGGTTATGCAAACTGCAGAAAGCCGGCGCTGGCATGCGCTGAGTTTTCGTGGACTGGAATAGATTAGATGAATCAAAAATCATTCTCATGCGCCGATGTTTCTTATGGTGACTAGGTAGATTATCACTTGTAGTCCCAGAATTAGTACTTAATAAGAGAGCCATCATCTTTAGACACAATGACAATTCAAGCACTCAGCGATCACTCCCTTCTGGTAAGCCAAGGACAATGCCATGTCCCTGAAGAGACAGCTTGGGGGATCTTTCCTGAGACATAGGTGCTGACCATGACCTGGAAATAGTGCCCTTTTTGAAACATCTCATGGAGTGAATTCATCAGCAGGTCCTCTCCGCGTACTGGTTATCTACCTTCTCAACACATGGAAGAATCTATTCTGAAGCTAATATTTCCGGCTCATCTCAAATTAGCCTCATCACAGCATACCTAACTTATTACTTAAATCCACCCCCTAGCGTACGGATCCATACCCACATCGTCCGCAAACTTTCTCACGACATATCCACCACTATTCCTCACCATCTCTCACCATTCCTCACCATCTTCCACTATTTCCCACTATTTCTTGCCATCCCTTCATAAGACAAATCATACGCCGCCACTTCTATCCGATCCGGCAAAGGCAAGGCAAGGCAAGGCCGCTTGGCCCAATGGTTAAGGCGTCTGACTACGACCGAGCACGGTATCTAATCTCACCATATGATGTGGTACGAAAACGTGCTTGATATAGCTAATCAGGAGATTCTGGGTTCGACTCCCAGGGTGGCCTCTTTCTTTTAGATTTTAGATTTTTTTTGTGCAAATTTGCTAAGGAGTTTGGTGGATGTGGTGTGTTGTGGAGACGGGGGAGGACTGGGCAGGGCTGGGCTGGGCTAAGTAGGGGTTTTCTTTCCCTCTATTCGTTTTGCTAGGTTTGATGGATGGTTGGAGCGGGAGATGGGTGAGATACGAACATGTATGCCTAAGGTCGGTAGATGCTGAGACGAATGTTGTCGATTCGCCCGTCACGTCTTGCTGAAAATTCGTAAGACGTACAAAACCAGATACATTAGGTACCTAGGTACAAGAACGGTGAACCAGCGGATAGACGTCGAAGAGACCGAAGCCAATGCGGTTGAGAGATGTCACTTAGACATTGGGCATGAGGACATAAGAGTAACTGAGACCTTCATCGTCGCCCAACCCATAGCCTATTACATCCTAAGGTAGTATTTATTGATGGAGCAGCTCTCACCAAATTACGCTCCCTACAACTGGATATGATATGATATGATCATGACTTTCTTCACATTCACTAGCATACATACATGCATAGCATAAAGTACACGACCATGCAGGTAGAACAAGTCTACCTACCTAATGCATAGCAATCATCACCATCAGAACACTTGAACTCAGGTCCAGTTCCTTTCAATACCTCAACAGGCATGGTGCATTTCTTTGATTGCTGACTTCGTCCCTTCTATCGTATTCCTACAACGACACAACGGGCCTTTAGTCCTCGAAACATGGTAAAAAAGCAATCCGGTTTTGGTTTTGCAAAGTCTAGCCGCGTACTGCGACGAATTTTGGGTCACCCTCTCCACTCACTCCCCCTTGTGATAATGACAATTAGCTAGCTCTATGAATGTTTGTGTTCCTCCGACCAAGAGCCCGCCCTTTGCATGTAAAGTTGGTGCCAATGTAACGCCGCGATCCCTCTTATTTTGTACAAGGTCCACAACTTTCTTGTGAGAAGTGCTATTCGTGACCTGTTGGTTTTGTGGTTCATAACCCCTAATCATGGGTTAGGTTAGATGTCGATCTCGCCATCGGCAATGGCAAGTCGTTGTTTAGTTGTCTTGGCTTTCTTGCTGCCTCCTTTTCGCTTCTTCGCAGCTTTCGCGTCTCCGGCCTCCACGGGAGTAGCGGTGCCAGAAGGTTTGTTGCCGTCATCAAAGTGGCCCTCACCTGGAACGGCACAGTTAGTAAGTTTTCTCACGGTATTACGAAATTCATATAGAGGCGACTTACCCTCATGGTACATCTCATCCAAGCTGACTGCCTCCCGCTTTCTCTTATTGCCGCCTCGCTTCTTGTTTTGCTTGTCCAGCTCACCGCTCTCGAGTAGTTCTTTCTCGCGCTGCTCGATGAGCTCGGCTTGCTCATCGTCGGCAAGCCACATAGCAATATCGCGGTTGCGGTTCTCGGGCGGGCGACGGCCGCTGAAGTCAACACCACGGGCCCCGCCTCCCTGGATGACAACACGTTGGACCTCTTCCTTCTGCATCGCACGCTTACGAATACGTTCCTCAATGGTGCCGCGCGTGATGAGACGGTAAACCGTCACTTGCTTCGTCTGGCCGAGACGATGAGCACGATCCATAGCCTGGGAGTCAATCGTAGGGTTCCAATCGCTGTCGTAGAAGATGACCGTATCGGCGGATGTAAGATTGATACCAAGACCACCAGCACGAGTTGAAAGCAGGAAGACAAAGATCTCGGGGCGAGTCTGGAAGTCGTGAACGGTGTCGCGACGGTCCTCGAGCTTTGTCGAGCCATCAAGCCGACAGTACTTGTAATTGCGGTAAGTAAGGTACTCCTCCATAAGGTCAATCATCCTGGTCATCTGGAAGTACAGTAGTACACGATGACCTTCCTCCTTCAGCTTGAACAAGAGCTGGTCGAGTTTGGCAAGTTTTCCGCTGTCAGTAACGAAACGGCGCATGCTGGGAACAGTTATGTTCGTGAACCGTCGCTTCTCGCCGTCCGGCTGAGGTAACATCGCAGGTGGTGGGTAGCGCTCAATCGGAACCTTCTGCAATACCAGGGCCTTCTCTTCCGGCAAGTTTGGACCATACAGGATCTTTCGCATGGGCACGTTGAACAATGTATCTTCGCGCTCGGCAATCGGGGCTCGGGTACCCTCGCAAGAGACCTCGATGGGAGGAGCTGAAGCACCAGGTAAAGCCGCTTGTTCAAGTCGACCAAGACCAGAATCTCGCCATGTTCCCTTAGAAATGTTCATTAGATTATCGAGCACACCTCCACTTGTGATCTCGGCCAAAGGCTTGCGGTCCGATCGAGCCGTAATCTGGAATAATGCATGGGCGGGCGTGTAATTCTCTTCGCCTTCCTCATCGTAGATCACGTTCATTCGGCCAAGTCGATTCTGCTTCTTGACCAGATCGGTAGCCCGCGAGAACAGATCTTGATGGGTAGCTTTGTAGACCTCTTCGGGGCTGGTATCAGCGAACCGAAGGAAAGAGAACGCCTCGTTGCCGGATGTGTGTTCGCGTATGTTCTCCGGTGTCCAGATGTTCATAAGATGATTCAGGTACTTGTTCCTAAAGCCAGCCTTCTCATTGTCCTTCCCGGCTTTGTGCAATCGACCACCCTCAGTCCAGACAAGGCGCGGCAAATTGTACTCGATGAGATTTCGAGTTGAGTAGCCGACTGAGACATTATTTCCCTCGCGGACGAACGAAGCAGTCTCGGCAAAGTAGCCGGTGAAAAATGGACTCGTCGTGTCCGCACGCTCAAATAAGTCAGGGTGGTTGCACACTTTCCGGAACTGCATCACAAGGTTCATCAGTGTGCCAGAATCCTGGTCATCTCCGAGAGTCGCCTTCTCTATCAGATCCATGATGCTAATCTGATTTCGCAAGTTCCTGTAGTAAGCGCGCTGTCGGTAGGTGAGTTCGCAGAACACGTCAAGTTCGATCTTGTCGCCAAGCTCCTTTTGTACATGCTTCTTGACACGGCGCAACATGAACGGTTTGAGGATCAAATGCAGCCGCCTAAGCTGGTCCTCGTTAAGAGTTGTGTTGCTTTGGGCGTGAGATTCGATATCCTTGGAAAACCATTCGCTGAATTCATCGTGTGAATCAAACAAGGACGGCATGATAAAATGTAGAAGGGCCCAGAGTTCTTGCATGTTATTCTGAATAGGAGTACCCGTAAGAAGAAGTCGGTTACGACAGTGGAAGCCGAGCAGGCACTTCCAACGTGAGCTTTGGGAGCTCTTGATGGCTTGTGCTTCATCGAGGATCATGTACTGCCAACGCATCTTCTGGAAGTAAGCGACATCTGAGACCACGAGTTGATAGGATGTAACCAGGACGTGGAAAGGAGCATCCTTCCGGTAAGTGTTATGCTTGCGATCCCAGAACTTGCGTAGCACCTTTCGATCATTAGCGGTACCCCAGTACGGGAGGACCTTGAATTCGGGGACGAATTTCGCGATCTCTTGCTGCCAATTGTGGAGAGTAGAAGCTGGCGCGACTACAAGGTAGGGGCCCCAGATGTCGTGTACTTCGGCAAGATAGGCCATGACAGAGATGGACTGGACCGTCTTTCCAAGACCCATTTCGTCGGCTAGGATACCGTTGATACCTTGTTCGTAAAGATTGGCGAGCCAGTTCAAGCCCTTCAACTGATACTCCTTGAGTTGGCAGTTCAGCAACTTCGGCTGCTCGACCGTCACGTCGCCAAGACCGGTAGGGTTCTGGAAGTTCATCTCCCCATCTTCATCCATATCATTATCGGTCTTGTTGAAGCTTCGTGCTTTCTGCTGGGCTTCCGCAATAGCATTCTGAGCATTTGCCATAGCAGCTTGTCTCAATGTCTCTTCATCCTCGGCGTCGAAGTTCAGCTGACTGAAATCTGTAACCTTACCAGCGGGTGCGTCTGCCGGCTCGTCGATATCAACGTTAGTCGTCTTAGACGGAGCGTTCCCATCTGGTGCGATATCCGGGTTATCGGTGCTACGCTCCACTTCGTCCGTCTTGATCTTCTTGCCAACAAAGTGAGAGTAAAGTTCGGTTTGCGAGATCAAGAAGTTGAGCTTCCTCTTCTGACGTGCAGCTTCACGATCAGCTTCCTCCTTGCGAGCATTCTCGAGTTCTTGTCTCTCTGCCGCCTTACGTAAGTCACGCTCTTCACGTTCGTTACGTTTCCAGAAGCTCATCATATCACGCATACAGCGCTTAGCACGGGCCTGGAGATCCTTTGTACCCTTATTGGTACGAAGCTGCCATCGTTTAGCTTCCTTCGAAGCTAGTATAGCAGTCTTCTTAAGGTTCGAAGCCTTCGTGGCATAAGAGTCACAAGCCAGCTTGTACGTCTTCGGAACATCTTTGCGTGCAAGGTCTCGCCAGATCTGATCGTAGATCTGGTTGTAGCCTTTGGACTGGAATTTGGTCTCAAGAGGATTAGGCGGAGGTTCTTCAACCGACTTCTCCTTCTCTCTTTGCTCCTTTGCAGCAGCGTCCTTGGCTTCCTTGTCCTTCTCTTTCGGTTCCCTAGAGGAGGCCTTACTCAACTTGATTCGGATCTTGGTCTCTTCCTTCGTAGGTAACTCCTCGCCTGCATCAAGAGCAGCTTGGGCAGCAATGGCTGAATCCTTCTCTGCCTGCTTTTGTTCCTTAGACTTCTTCGGGCGATTGCCGCTGCGGCCTTTGCCCTTGGCCTTGTTGGCAGCCTCCAGCTCCGTAGCTTGGAACGTCGACATCGTACCGCCCTCCAGGTTCAGCTCAAGTGGTGCCAAGTTGCGTGCTGGGCCCTTAATACCCTTCTGCAAGATCAGCTTAGTCTGCTGCGCCTTCTTGTTGGCACGTTCCGCATCTCGTAAGTATTTCGCGCGTTCGGCATCATCTTCGGCAGCGAGTGCCTTTGCCAAGGCAGCTTCTTTCTGCTCGATCGTGACTTGCATAGACTTTTCCCTACGTCGCTTTCGTTGCATGTCCTTCTTGCGCTCCTTTTCTGCAAAAATCTCGCGTTCTCGAACCT